CCCCCCCCCCCGAAGGGCAGGACCAGATCCAAGCGACTCACAAGGCGCCACTCGCCCAACTCAAGAGCAGAACCTGCCCTGCCTTTGCACCACCTGAACACCCTCACTGCACAGCAGGACAGGGCAGCAATAAAAGCAGCTAAACACCAAAGCCCACTTATTTCTTTCTCCTCATGGACCAGAATGTAATTATTTTTTTATCCTCCTACAGATGTTCTACTCGAGTAGCACATAGACACCAAGTCACCACAAATTACTCAAAACCCCAAATTACACCCATTTCTGGAAGAGCTGACAGAGCCTTGCATCACTGGTGAAACCCATCCAGAAGCTGCCATGGGTGTGGCAGCCACCAAGAACTCAAGTTCAGCCCCAGATAAACACACAGGCTTCAGACTCACTTTTGTTGGCAGTGGGCATTCATCAAGCAGCAGTGTTATAACAGCTGGTCCCAGGGGATCTTCTAATGGAATAACTCTAATTAAAGACTGGACAACTTCCAACCAACCTTCATCTGTCAACCACAAAACAGAAGTAATGCTCAGAATTAACACTGCAGTGTTTGAAATACAGCCATAAATGTGAAGTGAGACGTTCTCAGAATTACACAGTGAGTTTACAGAGAAAAAAAAAAAATCAAACACAAAACAGTTCACTTTTCAAACCCATGTCTTAGCTTGTAGTAGTTTAGAAGTTTAAATTCAAGGAGAAGAAAAAAGTTTACAGCTCAGGTGTCAGTGAAGCCCTCTTTTGTTCGGAGAACAGTCTTGCCCAGGCCAGAGCATCCTGTGGTTCCCACCAGCAGTGGAAGGAGCACTCCTGGCCAGCATGAGCAAGCACTTTGTTCAGTGTGAAACTCAAGAGCTCAGTGTCCAGTGGCAGCTCTGAGGTGTTAAATGCTGCATCCATGATGACACTGAAGAACTATTTCCTCTAGCCAGAATCACAGAGCTCTTCTTGAGGTCCCTCAGATAACACAGACCCCGTGGGAACTGTTAGCTTGTTGTGTGCCTGGTTGGCTAAAGCAAATTTACTTTCCTAAGGAACAGCTCTCACTGTCTCGTGAGCAGAGAAGGGCTTCTACTTCCAAGTAAGCAACAATCCACATTAAGATGTTAAACTACTAATAAACAGATTCAGATTTACAAGAAACTAGTGCCCTTAGAAGTGAAAATATAGTCTGTACCTGTGTACAGGTGAGTGAGGCTGAAGAGCCTCTGTCCTCCCTTCACCAATGACAAGTAAACCCAAGTAACACATTGAGGTTTGAGTTTTGTTGCCATATCCCACCCCAAAACCATTTTACTTAATTACTGTAACATCTAAAATCAGGTTGATTAATTTCTTTGGATCTAGAAATACCTTTCCTCAGACCAGTATACTAGGAGAGGAAAAAAACTGAGCTAAACCAGAAATCTGGTGGAGGTCTCAAGCTGGGAGAATGGAACATGCTGGAACAACTGTATCAGTAGAGACTAAGGAGAAAAAAACCCAACAGAAAAAGTATGTACTACTTGCCAGGAGAGGAGCACAAGGGTTTAAAGCATGTCTAGATAACTAGACAGGCTGTTTCTGCCTCCCTGCCTGCAGACATTCCTGATGGCTCAGGGTTTAAAGCCATGACAGGGTGTCTGGCCACCCTGTGGCTGCTCCTGTGGAGCTCAGAAGCTCAAAAACCTCAGGCAAATGCAGTGAGCCCAGTGCAACCTCTGAAGGGCAGGGCTGTGCTGTGGATCCCACACCCCTACAGCCACAGCCAGTCACAGTAGATGCCAAGTGTGTGTTTTTCTTTGCAAAGAAAAGAGGGGTTTGTTTGCTTTGGAGTCACAACTGCAATGCCCCACATGGTGCCTTGATACCTGTTTCTGCCATTTCATGCAACGTGATCATTGAATAAGGAGGCTCCTGGTCACTGCAAGAGATATTACACAGGTCAAAAATTATGCACAATCAACATAATACACCAGATAAAATTATGATACACAGACAGAAAATTAATCCAGTCAGTATTTAACCAAAGGAAGTTACACAGGCTAGGCTAATGCCACTGGCAGCTCTTGTTCTGGCCTCAGGCCAACAGCTGCACACCTACCAGAGCTGATCAATGAAATGATCCTTATCTGCATGTCTACGAGCTAACCAGAGTGCTTAGGCACTCTGCTGTTGATTAGCAGGGCTCCTTGGAGCATGCAGCAAGAGGAACACGTGCCAGAGGGCATGAAGTGAACCAAGAGCACAAGGGACGTGGCTTAAACATGTTATTTTTTTTTCTCCAGAAATTCTCAGCTAAATCTAGAAATGTATTTTTAAAAACCCCACAAAACTGAAAGGCAACCCACCCAGCAGCATCTCAGGCTTCCAACTCATTAATGAGAGCTGTAAGAAACAGTTAAAGGAGTTGAACAGAAGATGTTTAACTCAATGCACTTTCCAACATAGAAAAAGTTGAATTAAAGCAGTTCCTCAACTTGCTTTGCTGGGGCAATGGCAAGAACCTCTGGCTGGTGCTTATCTGAGCAGCCACTGCTGAAAAGCCCCTAAAGCAAGAGCTCAAAACCCTATTCAGTGAGCATCTCCAGGTCCAGAAAAAGCTTATGCAGCAGCATCTCCTAAGTGCTTTATTCAGTTGTACAGAGGCATTGTGAACTAACCCCAGGCTGAAATAGGCTCCACACTCCATTTCTACCACACAGCCCTGGAATGAAACCAGAAATGCTAAACACAGATGAATTTGAGAAAATTTCAACACAGATTAATCATGTAGATAGTAAAGCTACATCCTTTGGAGTGATTAATGATAAAATAAAAGTGTCGGTTTTGTCTAAAAAGATAGGATTTAAATGCATGCTTTTCTTACCAAAACATTAACACACTCAAATATCTACACGGTGAAGTTTAAATGAAGTTTACATTTTTATATTACCATCATACTGGAAACAAATATTGACCCCCCCATACCTTTGCCTTTTTTCTGGAAACTAATCTGCCCAGCAGTAGAAAGCAGTGCAAGCAGAATCACCTCCAGAGAAAGGATGTAAAGACTCAAAGAAAAAAGAAAATAAAACACAAAACCCTAAGTACAAGTAAAGGTTATGGGGAAAAAAAAAAAAAAAAAAGGAGGAAATTGTTATCAGCAAAATTTGACTGTCCCAGGAGCAGGTGTCAGCTCTGAGCAGAGCTCTGTCCCATTGACTGGAAATGAAGTGGTTAAAATGGGCAAACATTCCCTCCAGAACACACCTTCCTTCCTCGTTTCAAAACAAAAGGGTCATTCTGCTGGTTTCTTAATTTGGAAAGCAGAACTCGCTATCAGATCCAAAAATTAGTACTTATTTCTTCTGAGAAGAGGCAATGAAACTTCTCTGCTCCCCTTCTAGCAAGGTGTTGCCTCTAGATATGAGAGGAAAAGGACAGTTGTCAAGATACTTTGTAGGTCTGAGCTTTGAGATTTGGTAAAACAAACGTGAAACCCAACGAGAAAACCCAAAGCAGCAGCAAACAGGGAAAGCAACTGCTCATTGCAGATCACAGTGTACCAACTTGATTTCCAATTCATCTCAGTCTCTCCAGGTTTTAACTTCTAATTTGGAAAAAAAATGTCAGAAAAAGGGTTTTGCCTTCCACTGTTCACACTACCTTTTCCTGTTGTTGCTGTGCTACCACACTGAAGCCCCTGTTTCCAACCTGCTGTTACTTACATCCTTTCACTCGAGTTTGACCTGATTCTTGCACATTTTTTGACACAGAGATTTGTCAGAGTTCTGTTTCCAAAACTGAAAAATGAGGCCTTGGAGGAACAGGTGATAATGGAACATACATTCCTACAGTCCCTCACTCACACTGAAAATCAAGATTTCCAGACATGGATTATTTTTTCTCCCCAAGTGAGCATTGCTATTTAAAAAGAGCTATAATTAGCTTCAAGTCCAGGAGAAAGACTCCTTAGATATTTTTTCAGACACATTTAGATGATTTGCCTTGTCAACAGACCCTCCATCATTCAGAGCTGTAAGACTTTGTCTTACCTGCAGCAACTTATAATATGTAGCTGTGTCTTATCAACTGCCTGAAGGGAAACCAGGACAACAGTACAGCCCATTCTGGGGGGCAAGACAGACATTGGTGTAAGGGAGCATGTCTAGCAGAGGGCTTCCAAGATGGCTGAGGGCTGGAGAACATGACATACAAGCAGAAGCTCAGAGAGATGGGTTTGTTCATCCTTGAGGGGGGTAGTGGAAAGGAGCAGCAATCCTACTGCTGTTGCAACTCTATCTTGGAGATGCACAGCAACAGGATAAGAAACAACAGGGATGTGTCGGACCATGGGCAACTCCAACTTTAGGAAATATTTGCTTATTTAAAGCATGGGGATGGTCAAACACTGGACCAGGGACACAAAGAGGTGCAGGATCTCTGTGTTCTGAAGATGTTCAGCACCTGGCTGGATAAGACCCTGAGCAACCTGCCCCAGCTAAACCTGGGTTTTGAGCAGGAGGCTCAAGTCAAGAGGTTCTTTCCAACCCATGTGATTGTGTGAGTCTAAGGAAGTATTTCACTGGAGTCTGCACAGAAAAATACAGTAGTTTCTGAAATGTTAGAAACAGGACTCCAGTCAGTGAAATAACTGTGCTTATTGTCCCTCAGCAGTGCAGGAAAGTGCTTACAAGATTACAAAACTGATTGCAAGACCCACAGGAACAGGCTCAACTATGCAGAAAAGGGTTGTGAAACAGCTCACAGGGCTGGACTGAGGGAAAAGGGGAAGGCCTGTGAGATAAGGGAGAGACTTTCAAAAAAATCTGCCATGATTTTAACTTCATTATTTGAAGACAGACCACAAAATAAAACCTGTACAAGAAACCCCAAACCCCTCAGACTTATATGTTCAGGGGAAAAAAACCCAAACATGTCCTGGTATTTCTCCTGAAAGTATTTTACAGCAGGAAGGCAAACTCTTCCTCTGCAGGCACATTCCAGAGTCAGGATGCAAGTATATGAATCAAAGCTCAGTGATCCTGAGCTTCATCTACCTTAAACTCAAACACCAGCTTTAAACAACCACCTTCAAACACCTCCAGCTTCAAACACCACCAGAACACTATGTTACAACAGTGTTCTTCTGTTTTGGCCTTTCCAGGTCGTAGCCTGCACCTGTCCTTCACTCACCACTTGGAAGGTCCTTTGAAAGCTTTGTAGAAAGCAACACAAAACAACAACAAAAAATAAAGATGAATCCATAAACATCCCTCACACCCTTAAGGGATGCTTTGAGCATGCAAGGAATGCAACACTGAGATCACGAGCTGCAGAGTCACAACATGCAGTCTAGAAGCTGACAAAGATCAAAGCTCTCCCTTTTTGCTTCACCATTTCCAAAGAAGTAAATACAGCCTGAAAACAGCAAACTTGCACAACAACCCATTTTTAGGACAGAAGTGCCCCAACTCTGGAGTGTTCATTGCTTCCAAAACTGTGTATCTATGTCAGGTAAGAAACACTGAGCAGGCTCCTCATCCCACCTGGGTGAAGGCACATACAGGAACTGAGATAAACCTCCTCAGCTCCTGGAAGACCCTGTACCTGGGCACTCAGGAGCTACTTCTATTACCTAGGGAAGGTGCTCCTCTCCTAAGCCTCCAGATGGAAACACGTGGCTGCCTCAGGGAGGGTCAGGTGCAGATCCATGAGAGGATGGAGTCACAGTTTGAGAGAAGACAAGAACATTTTCATTCATGTTGAATTATTCCTTGGGGAGGTACTTACTTATCTACTAACGTCCGAATGACAGCCAGTGTGTCCAGCACTAGCCCATCCACATTCTGCTTTTTCCTTCTTGGTTCATGGGGCCCTCGACCCCTCCTGGGTGGCCGGACAGGGTCCCTTGGGTGGCTCCTTGCTTCAGGAACGTGGGCTCTGCTGTTCTCCCTTTGCTGGCTCCGAGATTCCACGTTGTCTTCTGCTCCGCTGTCATCGCGGCAAACGCAGGAGTTGCCCATGTTGCCAGCCCCCAGGAAGTGGGGAACGAGGTGCTCTAGCGCCAACAGGACTCCTTGGAAAGCATAGAACACAACCAAAGCAACTACGATCATCTAGAAAGTTTTAAGAGCAATGTTTGTGTAGTCCTCGCTTGTGATCTTTTTGCATTGTAAGCGTTGCTACCAGCTGGAATGACTGGGAAGGTGGAGACCTGGTTTCCAGTAGAATTGGCTGTAATACACAGTGCTCATCCAGGAGGCCTGAAAAAACAAATCCAAAAGAAAAGCCAGTTTTACTACTTCTAACAACAGAATCATTCCTATTTCAGTAAACAGAAGCAATCTAGGTGGATAAAGCACCTTGGAAATGGCAGGTTTGCATCCGCAGGGAAGGGGAAAGGAAAGAAAAGAAGGAAGAAGTTCACTGAGTACTTACTCAGATCCCACCCACCCTTTCTTTCTAAACTATTTCCCATTTCTTCCAACTACATCCTTAAATCTTTTTGCCCTTTCAGTGGTAAATATAAACAGTTTCATTTGTTCTTTGCCCTTTATAAAGGGGTACTGCTCAAGCCACCCAGCTGAAGGCTGCACATTTCAGGTTCTCCTTTCACATCAGGAATATTCAGTATAATTTCCAGACAGACTCCACAAAATAGCAAAAAACTCCAAGACTAGTAGCTCTTTACAGGGGTTGCTATCTCAACAAACACCAGATGTAACAGTGAACTGAGTGTTGGATCCACCTGGGCATAAACACGTGTTACTGGAACGTGCCAACATCAACTCGGTTATCAACCAAAGAAGCACCAACTCCAAGATCAACAGGAATTACAGACACCATTTTAATGCCTGCAAATCTAACCGGGATTTTGAAAGGGGTGTTTTCTCTGTGCTTGTTCAGATCTGGCATCAGCCCAGCTCTCCCTGTTTGGCAACCAAGACTCTCAGTCATTCTTTTGTTCCCAATTCAGATGGTTTGGGTCAAATGCAGGCCCACCAGCAACTGAGACTGTAGGGCAGCCTCTCCAAACCATTAAACTGAGAATGTGAGCAAGAGCAAAAGGATTTTAAAGCCCATTTTATTACAAGTTAGCTTTTGAGCCACAGGGTGTATTTCTACAGAACCAGCAGCTCTAGGGAGGTTCTCCTCTCCCTCTGTTCTAGTGAGACCACATCTAGGGTGTTGTGTCCAGTTCTGGGCTCCCCAGTTCCAGAGGGACAGGGATTTGCTGGAAAGAGTCCAACAGAGGCTACAAGGATGATGAAGGGACTGGAACACCTGCCTGATGAGGAAAGGCTGAGAGACCTGGGGCTGGTTAGTCTGGAGAAGAGATGACTAAGAGGGGACCTGCTTAATGTCTCTAAATACCTGAAGGGTGGGTGTCCAGAATGGGCCAGTGTCTGTTCAGTGGTGGCTGTGACAGGAGGGGAAATGGCATCAAGTGACAACACAGGAATTTCCACCTCAACATGAGGAAGAACTTCTTAACTGTGAGGGTGACAGAGCCCTGGGACAGGCTGCCCAGAGAGGCTGTGGAGTTTCCTTCTCTGGAGACTTTCCAAACCTGTCTGGATGCCTTTCTGAGTGACCTGCCCTAGTTTTGGTCCTGCTGCAGCATGGGGGTTGGACTGGATGATTTCAGAGGTCCTTCCCAACTCAAATGATTCTCTGATTAAAACAAAGCCCTACAAAAAGCTTCATTTCTCTACTTATGCACTTCAAGCATGTAAGAATAAATACCTTTTAAGACTAAGCATGTGTGTTTAAGAATCAAGTTTAGCATTTAAGTTAGAAACAATGGTGAATACCCTGCAGCAAGTTATTGCTGTTCTAAAATTATTAAATAATCTATTTAAACAGCAGCCATGTAGCACCATAAAAATCAAAAGAAAGTCAAAGACCTTTCAAACATGAAAGGCCCCCCTGACACCCAAGCTCTGCAGTCACTGGCTGCCTTGTGTGACCAGAGCAGAATACGATTTCTGTGGAAGCCAGACCCTGGTCCTATGAGCAAGCCTCTGGATGTTCAGCTGTCACTGGAAAATTGCTCCCACAGGCTCTTCTGTACTTTGAAATGTGTTTTCTTTTAGCACAGGAAAAAGTTCAGTATTAAGAAATTAACTGAAGGGTAACTAGGGAAAAAAAAAAAATCCCTCAAGGGATATTAATAGCCAAAAAAATGAAAGGTTTTGACTTCTGGTGCAAGAAATTCCTAAAGCACAGATCATTAGAAAGGTTTTAGCATCACAACGTGCCTGCTTCAGTCTGTAAGCAGTGTGACCAAAACAGGAGGTGGCACAGGGGCTCAGGAGCCCTTCCAGCCTTAGTCTCCTCAGTCAAAAGAAACCAGTAGATGCAACTTATATAAAAAGCAAAACGTCTTCCTAAGGAACAACTATGTGTGCTGGTTTGGTGGGATTTTTGGTAGTGGGGGAAGGGCCCCAGGGGTGGCTCCTGTAAGAAGCAGAGAAGCTGCTCCTGCTCCAAAAGCAGCCAAGGAGCCATCAGAGGGAACATACATGCACCTCTGCCCTTAGCATACAAAAGGACTGAGAGAAAAGCTAAGCAGAGCACTTAAGGGAGAAGGGCTGAGCTGGAGAGGTAAGAGACAGTGCTGGGGTGAAGATCCTGTGGTTGGTGAGGAGGAAGGGGCAACAGTTTCCCTGCAGCCCATGGTGAGACGGCAGCTCTGCCCCTGCACTCATGGAGGAACGTGGTGGAACATTCCCTGAAGGTGCCAGAAGGGGTGAGCTTGGCCAGTGGACTTGGATTTTGTGGCCAGTGGATTCGATGCTCATGGCCTGGGCTGGTGCAGCTGTGGAAGCCCCCAGGCCAG